AGTTGGTTTACTAAAACAGACTGCCACAACTAGCAAGTGGGAGTAAAAATAAATAAGCATGTTTTGTATATCATAGGGGAGAAAGTGCAGTCTTGGAATTGAGATATGTTAGCTTTAAGATCCAAAGAGCCCACTTAAATGCTTGATACAATTTCTGCCCTGCCCCCCCCCCTCCCTTTTTTGGGGGGGTGTTTGGGGTTTTTTGTTGTTTGATTGTTTTGGTTTCTGTTTTTTTGTGTGGCAAATATGTCTGAATGTACAGTATTTCATTCCAGCTTTTGTCTTCAAGAATCTTGTTTAACCAGTTTTATGTTACGTTATGTAATTTTTATAGACTTAGTTAAAATGATTGCCAAAACTTCACCAACATCCCCAAATATTAAATGTAAAGGAGTTATGAATGGGTACCAACAGGAGTCATTAACTGATGTAGTGTCATTAAGCCTTAAGGACCTTTTGTTAACTCACACTGTTTATGTGCAGCACCGTTACAAATAAGTCATGTGTGGACTGAAGGATATGGATCCACAGCACAATCTGTACATGTGAGTTCTCCCTGTCTGGCTTTTTTCCTTATTTGTACTTACTAGCCCTATAGTGTTCAGTTATCCTTCTGCTTTCATCCTCATCACTCTAACCCACTCTAATTCAATGCTTTTGCAAACAGCTTTCAACTCCTTTTTTGAATGTGTGAGCCAGTCACTGATTTTTAAATGAAAGCTGTGCCTTGCACATGTAGACAGAACCAGACAAAATAGGATTACCGCTGGCTGTTAGCATATAGCATCTGTTGTACAGTTTAAACTGTCTTATGCTGTTGCCACTTTCAGTTTTACCCTATGAAGTGCAATAATTTGCATTCAGAATTTATCAATGTACATAGAAATTTCTCTGTAATTTCAGTGCAGTGGTTTTCATATCTTCTACTGGCATGTTTTATTAGGGGAATTTTATGCAGAATATAGTGGGCCGTCTCTAATGACAGACTGATAAATTTAATGTATGGTCTCTACGTGAGTAATATTGGCTTCTAGTTGCTTGGGGCTGGTTGAGTACACTGCCTGTGTGGTAGGATTCCATAGTCAAAGGAGACAACAATCTTTCTGCTTCAGCAGTGTCCTTGTATGATTTGATAGCTGCTGGCCTGAACCTTATGTAACCGTTCAATATATGGATAGGGATCTCTCTCCAACAGGTTCTCCCCTAACGGTGTCACTACAAGGTCTGTCAGAACTACGTTTCGGTGCTTGTTTCCTCTGCATATCCTTTCTAACGATACCGAGGCTCTTTTCTATCATGTTCACCTGTCTTCCCAAGAGAAGACCTGGAGGGGAGGTAGAAGGTGACGTGGGGTGCCAGATAAGACTAACAGTGGAGAATAGGAGAAGGGAAGAGGTGCGGAGTTTTTTTTATACTCTAACTTTCTGTGGCAATATGCTACAGGATATGGCATGTATTGCCAAAAGCTATTATAACCCAGAAGCTTCATTTATGCCAGTGAACAGCTCTGCCTGCAATTCTCATTACACTGGGGATAAACTAATATAGGCTTTTTTCTATCTAAACCCAGCTGTGTAATTTGACTCTTTTAGAGAAGTGATGCTGTGCGTGCATTTTCTACTCAAAGAACATGTAAATTGTATTTGTGTGGTTTGACTTTGTTTAAATTTCACTATCAAATTGAAGATACTCATGTATTGTTTTTTCCAATATCATCCTGAATGATATCCTGAAGGTGATCTTCCATACCTTATGTGTATAGTACAATTGTGTAAGGTAAACTGATAGGATAGATACTCCTTGTGTTTCTTTTCGGTCTTATCTGAAACAAGTTGAAAAGATGTTGAAACAACAGTGTACAGTGGAATGTGCATTGTGAAGGAAATTTCTCCTACTCTCCCCAGAAGATATGTAAGAAAAATGCCCATTCTCCAACTACAATACAGTAAAGCTCCCCATATATACTAAGAGATTTTTCGTACTATCTTGGAAAAGTGCGTGTGTGAGTGTATATATTTATTGTTGGTATTTTTTAAGACATACCCCTTCCAGGTGAAAAAAAGGAATTTTGTACTTAAGGTGTTAGAGAATTTGTTTGGGAACAGTTTGTTCATGTGAAGGTGTAAGCCTTGTAATGATGCCAAGGTCATTAGAGACCTGTGGAGATCTGCTGGTTAAGTGCTGGTCACTCAGGCAGCTGGAACTTTAGGCAGGTTTTACATATACAGCCAATTTATTTCCAAGATTTTAAATTAGGTTAATAAAGATAATACTTGCACCTTGCCCTTTATACCTCTCTACCTTTTATATATATTCACCTAGCATCTTGCTAACTTGCTGAAATACATAGTGAAAAAGGAGAGAGAATACCAGTTTAGTTTAATTTTAGTGGCTGGAACAGTATCCTAAGATACATACAGCAAAAGACAGGCTGGAGCAGATCTCTAGATATGACTGCATCATTGTAGGTTGAACTTAATTTTGAACCTGTTAGGTTAAATACATACATAAATATACACATAAATACATATTACCTATGTAGATCTGGGGGGTTTATTTGATTGTTTGCTTGTGTGTGTGTGCATGTACTTCTAAGTAAATAATGCTTCCTGTGTTAGGAAAGTAGAGCAAACCATGGTAGATGAGGTAGTGGAATCTTCAGGTACAGTGTGGGTCTGTGCAGCCCTGTGTAGGCGGTTGGATGAAAAAGAACAGACAAATCAACATTCCTTTCCCTGAACTCCCCAGCATGCCTCAGCTGCTTTCACTCAGCTCCAGAAAGGGGAAATGAGACAAAAAGGAGCCACTGGTGGAGTGCTTGCTAATTAGTAAAACTTTGCTCTATGCTAAAAGCAAAAATTAAAGGAATATATAAATGCTATTGAAATTTCATTATGTGAGAACTTAAAGCATCAACAGAGATTTGTTTCAGAGCTTTTAACTAGTCGTGTACTCAGAAGAACAAGTTTTTTCAGTATTTTCAAAAGACCAGAACTTGTCAGCCTACTTATGCTGCCAGTTTTTGTATAATAAGTTCATTGACCCTGTAGACAGTCTGAGTGTTTTCTGAGTTACTGCTTTATCAAACTAATTTGCATGATTTTAAAGCTGTTGCTTGCTAGAAAACAATCTAGTGAGGGTGCACTTTGTAAACACCCTTTATATAACTTTACTTATTCCTTTTGGGGGTGGGGAGGGGAAATTGGGACATACAATCAAAAATAACATAACTGAAAAGTGATTTTCATGCTTTCATGAAATATTTCACAAAACAGATTCTTACCAAACTACTCTGTAGGATTTCTTTTTGTTTTCAGCCAAATAAACACAATTTCACATGCAAAAATGTTATGCTTCAGTAATTAATGTGTAATTACCTATTGTCACCAGATAATGTAGAGGCCAAAGGTATAAATGGATTCAAAAAGAATTATACCTTTATACCTATGGATGATACCTTCATGGAGGAAAAACAGTGAGAGCTGGGAGTGTGTAATGGGGAAAGGCTCGCCCCGTAGTCCTTCCTCTTTTTGTCCATAAACATCAGCTATGGCCGCTGGAGAGAATACTGCTCTGGATTGACTTGTATGTCTGTTCTGGTGTTCCTACTGTTGTTTAGGGTCTTAATGTAGAAGACAGTGAGCCTATACATGAGAATCAGATCTTTGTACAGAGTATTGCTTTGTATCAGACCCCGAATGCCCAAGAGCAAGAACTACAAATTGTATCCTGGATTATGTTCTTTGGAGGGGATTCTGACTGACAAGTTAACGAAGAGCAAAGATTAAATCCTTCCAGCTCTTTACTCCTCAGAATTGTTTACAAGTACATACCTGGTCTGTGTTATACTATAACAGTATAGATAGTATAACAATATAGATACATACTTCCACTCATAGTTTCCACAATAAATGGTAGGGTGTTTTAGAGAGGATAAGTGGTGCGACTAAGATGATGATTAGCTCTGAAAAGTTACGTGCTGCAGCCAGTTACCCTGCCAAAAAAAAAAAAGAAAAATCTACCACCACATGTGATAAATTGTGATTACTAGTTTGTTATAATTTGTCTTTGTTCTGTATATTGATTTGAGTTTCTGAAAAAATACAAAATGTATCTTTTTGAAAACAAGTTGAATTCAGTAGCTAAACTCCTTCCATCCTCAGGCAGTAACTGAAAACCAGGCAGAACTTCTACTGAGTAAGTACAGCTCCACATGTGGGCTGTATGATATGCAGGTAGAGCTGCACCAATACCACCGTAAGGTACTTCCAGTCTCTATTGCTGGTTCATGCCTGCTCACTGTCTGCTCTTCTGTGCTGACACAGCGCTTTGTTGGGACTATGTTTTGAAATGGATTGGGGCTTTTTTCCAGTAACACCTTCCCCCCTCCCCTTTTTTTTCTTTAGTGTCAAGATATCTTTATATTTATCTGTGTGTGTAAATATTACAGTTGATCCTGCTCCCTAAGTTGACTTATTCTGCAGTCCCACAAATAGTTGCATGGATATAAAGCATTGTATGTAAGTGCTTAGAATAAGCTTTGGGGCAAGACTGCCTAAATTTTGTGTTGCTGTGGAAGACACTCTTCATCAATATGTTCTTCCTTAAAGGTCCATGTGGCTTTTGATATATGTTAAGTTTTTTAGATTACTTGGAATTACCTAACAATGGGATTTGGTAATGAAAATTTTTTAGGGCAATAAAGAGGAAAATGTTAAGCTGAAAATATGTGATGGCAGGCATGAGACTGTTCAGGTGTTGTATGTTACTTTAGCATGTAGGTAAGCCTGAGAAAAAAAATGTTCCTTGTGTGTTCTCCCATAGTAACATGAATAATAAAAATACATGTTTGTAATGCATACAGACTTTAAGTTAAATTCTTTGTTGAAATTTTAATTTTATATTCTAACTATATTTGCTGTGGTGCCATATGAAAGTTCTGTTGGAAAACAGCATCTTTTTTTTTTTTTGTTAAACATGACATAATTTGTTTTCGCTAGAGTGCTGCTGTCCTTGCCAGTGAAAGAAACGCCGCACAAGAGGTGCGAAATAGTATAGAAAATCAAGTCAAAGAGCTGACTGAGGAAAATGAACAGTTGAAGAGAACAGTTGATGAGTTAGAGAGTAAAATTCAAGAGTTGCACAAACAAATTGATAATATGAAAGGAGAAGAAAATTCAGTGAAGGAAAAAATAAAGAGATATGAGGTAAGTTAAGAAAACAAGCCCCTTAAGTAGTCTCCTTCCTATTTGCAAAGGATACATATGCATTATAGAACAAAAACTGGCAAAGAGGAGGATGGGCAATGTCATTGGGAAGGCTAAGCAAAACCAGCAGGTTTTCAAGAAGCAGGATGTAGTTTGCCGACATGTATAGGAAAGATTTCCCCAGTGAAAACCAGTGTAAAAGCAAGTCACAGCTTGGAACTGGGGAGATCAGTGATAGGCCAGAGTGAACATACCTTATAGCTCAGTTTACTTGTCAGATCAAAGGCCCTGCCACTATTTCTAAATGTATCAAATCGTATCATTGCAGGAAGAGAAGCAACAATTAGAAGAAGCTTTGAAACATGCTGAAAAGGAGGCAAAAGAATTGGTAGTGTTAAAAAGGTCTTTGGAAAGCCAATTAGAAGATATGCAGGTAAGAACAACAGCAATTTGGAGTATTTAAAGTTTAAATTTCCTGTTTGTTTACCTGAGTCACCATTGCTTTCTGCAGAGTAACATCTCATTCTTTTTGAAGTACACTTTGTTTTAAAATCCAGACCTCACTGCAATTGTTCAAATGTTTCCTGAAATCACAGCATTGTCTAACTAAAATTGTTTTCTAGCTAAAGCCTTCCTTTTTTTTTACTTCCATGGATCTAGCAAAATTTCAGGCAGATGAATCGCAAAATAAACTGCCTAAATTTTATAAATCTATTTTATTATTTTGATCATTCATCTCTTGTTGTGTGTAGGTATTTACATGTAAAAGAATAAAAAGCTGTACTTGGATATAAATAAAAATATTGGTAGTAGACAAATATCAGGAAATTGGCGTCTTTTTTATTTTTTAGGAACCTGTCTTACTTGCAAATGTTGCATGGAACTGGTATATTTCATCACAAAACCAGAGAAATGTAACACATCACTAGGACTTGCAGCCTCTTAAACTCTGTGTGAAGTCCTCTTTCCACCTTGCTCCTTACTCTACTCAGTATCCAGGAAAGGATATGCTTTGTCCCAGATTAGCCCAGAAATTAACGATGTGGAGAATGCATCTGCTTCAGAGCAGTGGAGAGGAATGTTGGAAGTATTGTGTGTGAGTAAAGACAGAATGATTCAGATAAAATGAAAATTCATATCTGTTTAGTAAGGAGATGAATGTGTATAAATCTTAAAGCTCTTCTTATTGACATTACATTCTGTATCTGAAAAAGTTGCAAACCTAATCTTTCCTCTTTGTAATTCACCTTTTACATGTACTGAAGAAGCATCTATTTCTACAGTATCAGATAGTTTAGAATTCTCTTAGTTTTGCTTCCAGAAGCAAAGTTTTTAAGTGATTCCTTCAAACAAGTCAGACTCAAAAGTGAAGTACATGTATGTTGCTAGCAACCCTTTTTTAATTAAACAGATGTTTTCCCTTGTTGTCTTCAACAAAAATTTTACATTACTGTTCTGAACATCTGAAAATGAAACTTGTCTATAAATGGATTATGAACCAAGGGAAGATTGTATTAAGCAGCATGTTCTCATGGTTCAGTTAATTATGGTAAAAAGAAAACAACAAGAAAATACAACTGTGTCTTTAAAATGGAACATGCTTCAAGAATATAAAGTTTTAACAGTATGGGTAAGGAAGTCTTGTTTATACAAAATGATGTTTTTAAGCTGATGTTCCTTGTAACCATCAATAACTGTTTCATCTGAGGCTTTTAGTTGGTTGGTTCTTTTTTCTTTTTTAATCTGTTTATCTCTTCTACCTCACTGATTCTCCAAATTTGCTTCTATGTATTGCTGATAGCCTGCACAGTCACAATAGATGGCCCATTGCTCATCATTGGCTTGCATTTAGCACTGTTCTCTAAGAACTCCCTCCTATCACAGTCTGGCTTGACCTTCCTGCACAACATGAATCAATGCACCATATGCATCTCCTCCATCTTGATTAGGTTTGGGTCAAGATGCTTGAAAAGTGTGTTCTTTCTTTTCTGTTTACACATCCTTCAGGGCATCATGCCAAGTAATGCTGCCTCCAGGCTGGGTCTCCAAATTAATCTAGGAAAGCTGACAGATAGAAGAGTCTGTCTTGTCGTTTTATTCACAACTTATGTCTTATTTCTGGCACACCAAGTTTAAACCTCTTTCTGATTCTACGCTTCTTGCCCACCAGATACGAGCACTAACGGACTTCAGGATGTAATCAGCAGTCCCTTCAGTTTAGAACAATTCAACCTTTCTGTCTTTAGATTTTTGCTTGTTTTAATGAACAATGTTGTGCAGTAGGCTGATTTGGCCTTGTATTACCTTTGACAATTTAGATGACAAACATTGGCACAGTAATAATACTTATCATAGTGGAAACTTTAATTCCTGACTGAGCCCATCTTGCTTTTTACATAATACAGATGACTTTTAATGGTGGACTAGCAGAAGAAAGACAATGACAATATGAATAGAATTGCAGCAGTTACTGTAAACATAGCCAAATCTATTCCTCCTTCATCCCAAATTTCTGTTCAGAAAAGTTAAAGCTGAAATACACTTAATTATTGTAGACAATTTGTTTTAATGCTTTTGTCTAAAATCAACTTCAGCATATATTGAAATTTTCTTTATGGATGGTCAGGCACGTAGTATTTTTTGCAGTGTCTCATGCTGTGTTATAACCTCTGGTTTAGGGTAGCTTTCTGTATGTAGTCTACTGTTTCAAAAAATGAAATACATCTTAACATTTTTGCAACATTGAGAAGACTTTTGGAAGTTTCTTGAGAACTCTCTTGGGAAAGGAAATAATTTAATATAATTATTATGCACCTTAATCATAGCATATATGATACTGCAGTATATTAAAAAGTATCAATTATACCAACATTATGAATGGCAGTGCCAAGTATTCTGTGCTTGTTAAATTAAACAGTCGGAATGCAGGATCCTTTCCATGGGTGGAAGAATACGAAACTTATCTTTTCATTGTGGTAAATAATGGTAGGCACATAAATTAGTGTTGCAGAGCACTGTAAGTTGAAATATGTTCTTAATTTTCAGTTATCAGTTGAAAGAAATTATTAATTTTGTAAAGAGATGGTTCAGCTAATATTGTTTGGAAAAATAAGTATTGCAATAATCTTATAGGTTACTATGAAAACAAATTGCTATGTTCATTTTCCCCCATTTTCTTTTTTTTCCTTCTCTAGATATGTGGAAATGTGATTGTGTTCTGTTGTTATTTTATGGCTCCCTGTCTTCTGGACCACTGTCTGTCCACCAACCTGAAATTGAGAAATACTGCTGTAGAGTTAGCCTCGCTTGCGCGGAAGTAACACTTAAGCTTCTTCACAAAGTAATTAATTGCCACTACAGATTAGCTTTAAATTGGCAACTGATAAACTGTTTACTTGACTTGTGGTTACACTGTAACTGACAGGCCAGCCAATTCCAGTGAAAACTACTCAAGGATTTTTGTATGTGAAGGGGACTCACATTAGTGGTTATATTTGAGTTGACTGTTGAAGCTGTCCTATAGGACATTCCAAATTTCAAATACTGAAATTCAGTATAAAGTATTGAAAGGCTAGACGCTGAGGAAACTGCAGCATTTGGATAGTCAGTAGCAACGTTTCCATTGCATCATGTTTTTTAATACTTAAGCAAAATTATATAAATGGAAGTTCAGTTGTTTCTAGCATGGCATATTAGTCTATCTCAAATATTAATGTTAAACTAGGCATGCTAATTTTTATCAGTATTTTTCTCTTTTATCAGCTAGTCTAGAAAAGGGAAATGCCATATCCTCATTTGTGTTGCCCAAGGAAAATGATCATTGATGGGAAACTACACGACATGCTATTTCCCCTGAATAATATTACAAGAATGAAGTAGTATCTGTTGTAATGCAGGGTTTTTAGTAAAACAAAGATAATTTCTGTTGCAATGCTCAGTTTTCATGAGGAATATTTTTACCCTATACCTATATTATCAAGTTTTCTGCTGGCTACCTTTTAGCAAAACAACAAGGAACATATTATGCTTTAGTGGTAATTTCACTTTTTGAAGAATATATTATTCTGTGGCATAGTTACTAGCTAAATAATACAGGTCGTAGTATGGACACCTATTAAATAGATTTTGAGAAGAAAATTATGCAGAATGGTGCGGTAAGAAAACTACCGTTTCCAGCCAGTTAGAATTCATCAAGCCCAGAGAACAATCAGCTATTACACACTTTTCCAGAGAGAATGGTTGTGCATGTGAACCATTTGATCGTGCATTAAAAACTTGTTGATTCGGTAAGAAACGACACTGGTGTAATTTTTTTTTTCAGTCTTGTACTTTATAAGTACCCAGAGAAGCCTTTGCTTTCTCCTGTCACTAATAAATGGTGATCTACCAGAAGGGGAGGCTGGAAAGTGATAGGATCTTTACTGGGTCCAGGAAATGCTTAGTCCTGTGATTCTTATGGCATATCAGATGGCTGAACAGATACTGATACGTCACAAGAGGGACATGGGCATGAGAGATTTTAATAGATGTGGGGGAATGAGAGCATGAAGCACCTGAACTTCAGTTCCCATGATACTCTGAAGCAGCATTGCCCCTGTCAGTTTATTATTGAACTAACTAAAACCAGACTGAGCAAAACTGAAATTTCTCCTTGGAACAGGTCAGTTATCTAGGAATTGCATTTTCTATTAAAATAATTGTGATTACAACTTCACAACACTTTCTAATTTTTAGTAATGTACTTAGTATTTGTTTTATCATCCTTCTTAGTAACAAACAGTGAAAATATGTTGATGAAAATGGGGAGATGCTATACATGAAAAGTACAGATTTTTCTTTTCAGGATGCCAGAATATAACTCAAAGGAGAAAAAAGCTAAATTTCAATCTTGGGCATCTCAGTCTGCTGCATATCTGAAAATCAGGCAAAAGTTAGCATGACCTGATGAAAATTGAGGTGATCCACTGCTTGTATCAAGCCCCCTATTTATTATTTTCTTTAAATATTTTAATTGTTTATACCTATTATTACTTTGGCAATTGCTCTAGTTAGTGGACAAAATTTCTTCTCATATTAATGATTGATTTTTTGTTTGGTTGGTTGTTTTTTGGTTTTGTTGTTGTTGATAACTGAAGTAAATAGAGTGACAGGATTTGCTCTCATGTTTACTTCCCTTTTCAGCACACTGGAAATGCAGAACAGCATCCTGCTGGCATCATTATTCTGCCACAATGTATTTCACTGATCTGTGTCTGTGCGGTTTGTTTCTCAAGGATGTGTAAACAAACAGTAAAGTTAAATGATCTGTGAAAGACTGATGGATGAAGACATACATTAGGTTTTTATAACCTGTTCAAATATGGCACATCAGCAGGGTCCCAAGACTTCAGCAGCTTTTAGAAATGAAGTGCTAAAGTTGAACCTTTTCAAGGTTCTTAAAATCCTTTGGTGTCAGCTAAACCAATTCTGGTATAGAATTAGGCTTTACAAAACAACATCTATTAGCCCCCAGCATGTTTTAGGGTTATGTATACACTTTTTAGGCATCCACCATAACTCCTGTTTGTATCAGAAATGTCTTTTGTTGACAGGCTATACCAGAACATGAGAGACAATGAATCTAAAGAAATCTCTAACTTCTAACATTTGACGACGTTCTTTCATTTCTCTCAGAACAATTATTTTTTGAGATTCTGATCTATATTGCCTACAGAAATACTACTGTGTTTTCACATTTAAAGTTTTTCTAAGTGTAATAAAGTAAGCATCATAGGTATTAGATATTCAACAAAACTTTATATTTCCAATATTAAAATGTAAAACAATGTTTTGGAATGCTTTTTACAATTTATGGTGACTTTAATTATTTACATTTTTCTGTTGGAACAGAAAAACTGTCCATAATCTGGTTTTAATCAATTTAATGATGCCTCTCAGACTTCATAAAAACAAACCCTTTTTCTAGTCTTGTAGTGTCTATTTGGAGTAGGGCCATTAAGGTATTTTATTATGGAGAAAGAAGGAAGAGGTGAGAGTCCCAACATGCAGATGGAAAATAATCTGCTTTTCTTGTATTGGAATGAACTAGTGACACAGTCAGTTATTCTGCTGATGGACAGTATTTAGAAGTTGGAGGGTGGTAAGTTCTTAAATATTCTGAATGTAATAGCAGACACGTTTGGAGCTCCTGGTAGATGAGCATACAGCATAGTTCTGCAGTTGACTCAAAATTTAATCCATATAATGAAGGTCTGATTTGAACTTTAATGGCAAAAGCTCTTTCAGGAAGGAGATTTCTGTGCTAGGAGCTGCAAAGTTCTGTTTGCACAGCATCTGTCACAATGAGACATCATCTTGATTAGGGCTTCTGGGTGCTATAGAAGCACAGCAACAGGGAAAAAAAAATCACCACTAGTTATTTCTCACTCATCGTAGGAACAGATTTGTATTTTATTTTATTTTTTTTACCTAGGAAAAAAAGGCTGTTGTTGAGAAAACTTTTAAGGGAGCATTAAAGGGAGCATATAGGAAAATGTGAAACCTGAAATGGATATTGAACCTTGTGCAGGAGGTAGGATTTGCTGACGTGTGTGCAATTGCAGAGGAATGGACGCTTTGCATGTAACAGAATCATGAAAAGGGTCTGCCTTTGGTCCTACAAATGTTGCAACGGTGTTTTAGGAATTTATAGGAAGGATAAAGCACCGTATCACTAAAATGATGTTTGTCCTATACTGGCTAGCAAACTGTAACTCCATAAACTTTTTTTTATTTAAGTTTGTCTTAATGTTACAACAGCTGGTGGTATTACTGCTGCACAGAGAGTGTTATGTAACATTTCTTTAAGGCATTAGAAAAGAGGGTCTACATTTCATTATATATATTTTTTTAATCTACTGCAGGAGAGCATCCACTGTATTTCACAGGAACAGCAACAGTTAACCCAGCAGTTAAAGGATGAAACTCACCAGAAGGAACAGTTAAAGCAGATAAAGAATGAAATGGAGAATGAACGATGGCAACTGAACAAGACTGTTGAAAAGTTACAGGAGGAGGTATGAGTTCACTCCAAAGAGGCTGCAGGAATCTGAATATCTAACAGACAGAAGCAAATGAGCTGCCAAACTGTAAAGAATTATTTTTTTTTTTAATGTGTAAAAGAAAATGAAATGCAAACTTTACTATTAGTCTCTTTAACCTAGAGACTATCAATAAAAGCTTTCAGGGCTGGAGCAGTGGTTGGAACACCGCTATCTCAAAATACTGTTGTAAAACAGTTCTGTTTTGTTTAAACAAGATCCCAGATTTGAGTTCAGTTCTAATGTATGCTACAGCGATATTTCAGAGTTTTACAGCTGATCTTCAAAATGCTACTGCATTAGACTTATTTGCCATCTGTGTGTAAACCGTACAACTTAATATTGATACACTGAAGTGTGACGGTGCAGTTCATTACATCAGTCAGCTGGAAGAACTGCTGACAGACAAGAAGAGAATAGTCTTGCCACACATACTATTAGAAAATAACCTTACTGTTTTGTGTTTTCACACTTCTGCATAGAAATTCATTTGTTTGGGAACATGTTTGATAAATTTTCCTTTTGAAAATACGGAGCTGAATATCAAAACTGGAGGAAAAAAACCTTTTGGTGTATTAAGCATGATAGAACCTTTTGTAGCACTATTTTAGGAAAAAAATTATATGTGCTTTTTTCCCAGATGTCTGAAATGGTAGAGATCTCAAGAACATCAACTCTGGAGCTTCAGAACCAGCTTGATGAATACAAGGAGAAAAATCGCAGGGAACTTGCAGATGTGCAGAGACAATTAAAAGAGAAAAACCTTGAGGTAGAAAAATCACGCCTGACAGCCATGAGAATGCAAGATGAGGTAATGACTCATAAGTTCAGTGACAAATTCTAACCTTTGACCTAGAATTCAGCTCAGATAGTTTTCAAGACAATGAATGTTTGCTATCATGCTTTTGTGTACTTCATCATGAGAGACTGATCTCAATCAGCATGCTTTTGAAGTTCATTCTTCATGATGATGATCAGTGTGTTACTTCTGCCAGGGAAATGGGGTTTCCTGCTTATGACAGATAAATGCAGTGTTTGACAAATGAATGTATCTTAAATGATATGACAGGGATTCCATTGATGATCTGCTGCTCTTTTAATGCCTGCTACTGAAGGAATTGGGAATGTGGAAATAGTCTTGAATTAGGAAAAAAAACCCCAGCAGTTATTTAGAAAAAAGGAAAAAAAAAAAAACAAACCCCAAATTCTGGCTCTAAAGGAGTTGACATACATTCTCCTCTTCCTTTGTATAAGCCAAGTTGCAGATTTAAATGACAAAGGTGTCTGTGCAACCAAGAATCAACCACAGTCTTGAAGTCTCTGCCTCTTAGCATGTAAATTTTGCCATAAGGGCAATCCAGTCTTTTAAAGATCTGCATATACTTGTTCTGCAATTGGAAAAGCTATGAGAATACACTGGTCACAGATGTTTTCTGTACGTAGAATATTCTAATAGTTTGATTTTTTTCCAGTTCAGAACTTCTCTTATGTTGCCCTCTCCCCTTAACAAACTTGTTTTAATTCAATTTAAAAGAACAGCAATAGAAGAAAGTATAGTTCTTATATATTATTCTGTCTTCCTTCTATATTTATTCCATTCAGGGATGGAGAGCCTTTGTAAAGGGATGAAGACTCATAATGAAATGTGAAAGATAAAACTGGGATATTGAGAACATGGCTCTTAAGTTGAATAAACGAGAATAGACAGCTTAAATAAAAGATGTGTGTGTGTAAATATGTATACATACTGTGTTTACAGTTATGAAAAATACTTCTAGTGTTATCTATTACAACTACAAAACATACAAAGAAAAAATTTCAGAACAAACGAAACCTTCCTTATTTGACAAAAAGACAATCCAAATACTATAAATACCTATAAAGGACAAAATATTACTGGTTGTGGAATTCTACATCTCCATGAGGCAATATTTAAAATCCTAGGGCTTTAAAAATGTAGTATGGCAACTAGCTGCAAAAGAGGAAACAAAATCTGAAAATATAGGATAAGCAGGTTAAACAGCAGACTTTCTAGAGAGACTAAGCATTCAGGACAATTGAAAGTCTTTATTATCCCTTCCTCTTTTGTGTTTAACAAGAAGTACAAATATATAGTCCTTCCATTCAACGTGAAAGTGTCTGTTGTCTGTGAAAATCCTCTTGGGTAGGTGTCATAGTGCACAAAACATTCTTTTTGAGAGTCTCATCAAAAGCCAAGGATTGTAATGATCATGGCAACACGAGTATCATCTTCTTGTTCTAGCAGAAAAATTATGAAGGTCATGCAAGGCAGTATGGGAGTTCTTCATTGCTGCATCTCTTGTAAGTTCTCTGTGGATAAATAAAAGATACCAGTCTTGAAAGTTGTCAATCCAATGTCATTCTGAAAGGTTAAATGCATATGAAATGCTATTGATATACAGATCTCTGCACTTAACTAGCTGTTCACAAAGTCATGCAAATGTCCAATGTTTTTTTGTCAGGACTTAGCAATAGGTAGCAAACTCTGTAAACAGTCACTAATACATTATTTTAGCTTCATCACTAAAATATAAGCACTTGACTGAACAGAGGAAGAATATGGAAGACTGTATGCTGAAGAAAAAAAAACCCTCATCATATATTATATACACTTCACAAGTTAAGTTGCAAGTATAAGGACTGATCACAGTCTCACTTAAAACCCCTCTGACTACTTTTTAAGTGCTGTGAAGGTTTTAGATAATTTTAGAGTACACGCTATTGTTAGAATAGGAAACTTTTGTCCTCAGCAGATAGCCCTACTGCATCTAAAAGTTACACTAATACATATATATATGTTAGCAATTATGTCATTGGTAAAATGCTGTCATCGAAGTGCCTCAGACATATAAACTACATGATTATTTAAAAGCTAAGGTATTGGTAGTCTGAAAAGGAAAGGAATAATATTGCAAAAGTTCCAAAGATATAACCATTTAGAAAACTGTAAAAATTTTGGCTTGCTGTAGCTGGATAAAAAGAAAGAAATTTTAAAAAAACAACTATGTATAATTGTCACTGTAAAACCTGTAGTGTGAAGCATCTCTTTAGATCTGGTATTTAATCCAAGTTTATTTTCTTGGTGCCATCTTGTGGATAAAACAAAAATTACTGTGAAAAGCATATAACTCAATGAAATTCTTGTCACGCTTCCGGATCTGTCATGTTTGTAGTCAGTCCCCTTCACTGACATCACTTATTTATAGAAAGTACAGTGTAAAGCGTATTACCATAATCTTATTGTTTCAGATGCGTTTCATGGAAGAAAACTTGAGGGACCACCAAAGAGCTCAGGATGAGGCAATAACAAAAACTCAGCTGCTAGAACAGACTGTGAAAGGCTTGGAGTATGAACTGGAAGCCAAAAATCACTTAAAAGACGATCGGGCAAGACAAATCAAACTAATGGAGGTAAAAGATATTTTTAAGAGTTGGTATCTTATTAGAACTAATTAAAATAATTTTGGTATTTCACATGGATTCTGCCTGGGAAGAAACAAAATAACTTGATGTTGTTGAAAATCCATGTAGTACTACTGCAGGAATTATTCTGGTATATTCTAAAGGTGATCTGTTAGCATATCTATTGTAGCATGATGTGTTCTAAAATGCAATTGTTATTTCATCATTTTAATTAACTTTTAAATTAATTTTCTCTAGAGTTTATCAGGCAAAATTGTATTATTTTCATTCGTAGGCCCATCACTCAGAAATTCAAAAGTATTTAGAAGTGTAAGTTCTATTTAGCATCTAGTATCAGTTCATTTCAGTAGCCTAAATAACATCATTATTCTAACTATGTTGTTACAGGCTTAGCTTCATAATTGTTCAGTTCAACTAAGCTGTCATTTGACTTTCATAAACACTTTCATACCATTGTACTCATATGAAAAGAAATTTCTCTTCCAAGTGTATAATGTAACTTAGACATTCTAAAAACAATGTCTAGAAACATTACAGAATTTCTCTTATTTTCTTGAAATTGGTGGGAGTGATTAAAAAAGGAAATTAAACTTCTATTTTACTTCTGTCAGGCAAACAAATTCACTGTAAAGGCTTATCTACCTGCCATCTCTTTTTCTAGATTCTGTATGTGTTTTCAGAGGCATTTCACTTTTCAAGCCTAGTCTTTCAGACAGTTTGAGTCCTTGAAGCTTAAGGAAGAATGCCCTGGTAGCAATCTGAAGAGGATGGGAAAGTAGTATGTTGAAATTACTTTTCTTTGTTCCACTTAGGACAAGTTATCTCACCTGGAACTTGAGCTTGATGAAGAAAAGACTAATTCGGATTTGTTGTCTGAGAGGATCAGTAGATGCAGAGAACAGGTACTTGAACAAGTTTTCCAACTGTTGTATAATGATGAGGAAAAAGTGTTATTAGGCTTGCAAACAATATTGATTAACTGAATAATGATTAGCGATAGCGTTTATATACTGTACTTAAGCAGAGTATGTAAATGCAAAAAACCAAGGTTCACAAACATGATTAAATATGCTCCTCCACGTCATCACAGACCAATTTTTTCCCGTTTTCCTAACTGGAAAATTGACATAGATTGCATATAAAGACTGAAGACCAGTGTCATCCTCTGATATTCTTGATGCAGTGAGCTTCATCATTGATGCGTGCAGAGATGATGCTATCTTAGGCTTAGTTTTAGATAGGATGCGGTCTTAGGCTTTAGTTTTAGTTTCTGGTTGTAGAAAGTATCTTAGACTGAAAGATCACAATTTTTTAACTTTTCAGTAAAGTAGGCCAGCATAATAGAGTCTTGATTTCAAAGAAGGAGGAGCTTAGGAAATTGTGAAATTAATTAGTGAAGTCAACTGAAGATGCTAGCCAGTTTCAACAGAGAGGAAGCTTTATTTTCATTACAAGCGTAAAAACTGATTAAGGTATATCAAATATAAGACAGTTGGAAAGCGTTTTCCACATAAAAATATCAGTCATTAGTTCCAGAATTGTTATATGAGTAGGCAGCCCGGAAAGAGGGGAAGAAGGATTTATTAACAAGGTTGTGTCTCATGGGGCAGAAAATGTAAAGATAAAGCAAGATTTGCCAAGCTAAGTGAGACCTATCATAATAATTCAAACAAGTAACAGAAAAGTTCTTGACTGTGTAAGTAGAAAAAAGAAGTTGTGGAAACTGTATGATGAGGTATCAATCAAGATAAAAAGTAATTCAGGTATGCCTCCTCAAATAAATGAATATTTTTGCCTCTGTCTTCAGTAAGGCCAGTGGATGTGCAGGTGGGGGGAAGTGGAGTGGGCTAGTGGAAATGAGACCATTGAGCTGGAAATCACCAAGTCTAACAGAATTAGGAGTTCATTGTTCTGAAGAAAGAGGCCTTAATAATATTATTCAAGGTTTCTGAAAGAAATATGAAATCAAAGGCCCTGTAACAAATATTTATAATAAACCAGAAAAGTAGAGAATAGGGCCTGACGACTGAAAAAGTAACCAGAGCATCCATGGTCGAGTAGTCAGTATTATGCAAGTTTTTGATTAGTCTACAGAAAGGAATATGGTGATGTGGCTGTCTTGGAATATCACGGCCTAGACAATGTTCTTTGCCTTAGTTTTACATTCTGAGAGATGTGAAACTGATGCATAACTCATTACAGCATGTCTCCTACATTAGCTACTACTGTAGCTTTACATTAAGTACAATACCTCATTAGTAATTTCCTAGAAGTCCAGGAGACAATTTGCATTGAGGTAAAACCCACGATAGTCTGTTCTGTTTTCATTTCTCTTTCTCCAGGAAAAAAGAATTGCTGACATTCTTTTGAATAGCTTTAATTTCAAAGGGAGAACAGAAAGTAAAATCTTAGTTTCTCTGTCTTTTCAATGAAATTGTGTATTCCACTGAGACAGCTGGAGTTTTAAAGTGAGTTAGAACTCAGCTTGCTTTCATGCATCCTTGAAACACCAAGGCACCGTTACTACTTTGTTGGGACTCAGGTTACTGAGATTCTGTTTGATTGCAATATAGTCTTTTTGCTATTATTCCATTGATATTGTACAGACTCTGAGTCAGCGGGCGAAATAGAATGTAAAGAACCCATAATAATGTGAGGTCATGCTATTGTTAAATTAGGAAGCCTTTAATACTAGAGTTTATGCCTGTGTCGTAAGCCTGGGATGAAAGAACCTTAGTCATAGCTGCACTAGTGGGTACTATTGTAAGTTAATTTGCTAACTGAATGGCAACCTAAAATACAGATGGGTGACCAAAATGTTACATAATGGGTAAAAGACATGTTTGTTTTGAGGTCTGGAGTTTCTCATTTCACACATGAGTTACAAAGGTTGCTTTGTTTTGATTTTATGCCAGAATGACTAAGTAGTCAAATTACTAAAGAGTATTTCAGGGTCTGCTAAGCATTTATAATGACATGGAAGATTATAATGGATTTGTTTCAGTAATATCTGTATTTCTGTAATTTTTTTTTATTATTATAAATGTGTTATTTTAATATACTGATAATGAGCTATAATACTCAAATTTCTAGTAAAAACAAATTGACACAAGTGGTTCTATCTTACATAAAGCTAAACATTTGAATAAACATTGGCAAGACTGATAGTTCACATTTCACTTACTATGAAATGTTATCCTTTTTTAGTTAGATAGTTCACATTTCATTTACTATGAAATGTTATCCTTTTTTAATTTAAACACCCTTTTGAATCTGGGAGTGGCTGCATGAGACACTGTTCTCATCTTCCCTACCTCGTTCTCGAGAAGTACCACAACAAAGTGGAAACAGTAAAAAAATTTGGAGGAAAGGTGGATCATATCCTATTAGTTTTTAAATGATAAGATATTAGCAACTCTGGAAAGAGCAAAATGGTAAACAAACACACACACACATAGAAAGCTGGAGCACTCAGCTGCCCTTTGAGTCTAAAGCGAGCAGGGACAGGGCACATTTTAGTACATGATATTTTTTTTCCTACAAACAAGTGAAATGAAGTACCTCTTGCCATTTTGTTTTTGCAAACATAATTGAAAAATATTTAAGATACCCTCATCAATTCTTGTATTCTGTGAAAATGCGAACATGAGTCTATTGACTTCAGAATTGTTTCCACTAAGTGTGAAAAATGGACTAGTCAGTTTCCATGATAATTTTAGAATAAATACAGAAGGATAAAATTGCATTGACTGCATCGTTCATTTCCTTTTGGTAAAGCATTCCCAATGGATAGCTGTATACCTGCTCTTTAGCTGGCCCAGGTGTGGGAAGCAAACAAATGGAAATGTGGAGGTGAAGGTTGCTTTTCAATTACGAAGGATCAAAGGGGTTTGTTTGGCTTTTGCTTGTTTGTTTGTTAAACATAGGTTTTTTTGGTCACATACTTGAGAATTGTATATGTAGGTCTATATATAGGCACACATATATATATTTTACTTTTCCCTACTTAGGTACTAACAAGAAACCTAGGCTGTGAACCTAAATGAGATGGTAAACAATGGTGATAGCATCTAAAATATTATTGGAAATCAAATTGCTTTCACTTATAACTCAACAGCTGCTTCTAATCCTAAAGCTGGCACAAAACACTGTTATGTCTAATACAGCTTTGTAAAATCTGATACTATTGCTTTTCTCATTTCTTTCTTGTTAGCATTCTTCAAATCCAGCTGTGATAACTGTTGCCTTAAGCTGCAGAAATAGTTTATTCTTTTAATATGATTAGAATATGTTCGATATAGGAAAGGTAGAATGTGAAGCACAAAGCTTTGTATGGTACATAGCTACAGCCTATCTTAACTGCTGTGAAATAAGTGAAAAGTTTGAGCACATTTTGGCAGACAACTGCTTTTTTTCCTTTGTGCATGTTAATTATGCATTTACTATGAGAAGTGCAAGGAGATAAGTAAAAACAATTTCACCTCCCCCAGCAAGAATTGTGTCCTGCTGCCCTTCTCTTTCTACAAGCTCTTGTACATATTTGCACGTAGCTTTCTGATCCTAATCAGATATAGTACTTTTTCTCTCTCCCACTGTTTTCTGTGAGGTTGCTTTTACATGAGGTGTCCAACAACAGTAGCAGTCATCTTGGAAATATAATAATTGTCTGGTAAATAATTTCTTAATTTGAGATCTTGGGAAGGTTGCACAAATTTGTCACAGCCTTTGAGCACAGTAAGAGCACAGTAGAACTTTCAAGTGGTCCATTAAGCAAGTTCCTACATAAAACAAAACCCCTTTTTTCAGTTAACATTTGCATTTTTAATTAGTCATTCATTTTACTACAAATTTTGCTTTATTTTTTCTGTGTCTGTCTTCATGGCTAAAGCAATTACAGCAGAATAAATCCTATGTCATCCCTCACATTATAACTTTTTTCCGTATATTTAATGAATAAATGCAGCTATTGTATACATGAGTGATTCTAATTTTTGCATATAAAACAGTATTTTAATATCTAAAAATAATATTTTATATCATATATAAATTTATTATTATTATGCTTCTATGCAACAATGAGAGCTTTTAGGAAATTACCCAACTGTTGAGAACACAGCCACATGCTAACATTTGTAGTCCAGTAACTGTTATGACC